TTTGCCTAAATGCTTTTCTTTCTCATATAAATGTCTACCTGTACTCTATTCCATTAACTTGCACACCTCGCTTAAGCCAATAGTATTCGATTTCCATAACATTTTTGTGTTCGTGCGTTTCCGTATAGTATACCTTCTCACCTGGTGAACTTATCTAGGATTTGTTTGTAAACAACTTATTTCATATGCTCATTAACTTAAGGTTTATCTTACCGTTTCCTTATGCATCAATCGAGTTATTTTCTTTGTCTCTCTCTCTCTCTCTCTCCCAAGTGTTTGGCTGTTGTTTGATATCCCCGGTGAGGCTGCGCTTGATGTGCATGTTGACAAGGTGCCTACCTGTCTATTACCCACTACCTCGTCCATACTGGTTCCAGGAGACAGTTGGTCGTTGCTGGAGGGGACGGGGTACACGGTCCTTTTGGTCGTGCTAGGCTCGAAGATTTGTTCAATGCACTCAGTGTGGAGCGGACTACGGTGCAGCCACCGTCTTGTGTGCACTTGATTCCCCAACTATAGCGTACTGGTGTTTGCCTGTGAAGGAGTGTGGGCCGGCTCTGTTGATGAAACGTGGCTCCCAATCCGCATGTCTCCCGGTCTTATTCCTTCGGGTTTACACTGGATATGGGGTGTGTGGTTGGAGCTGTGGGTGGTGCAGCGCAAGCCATCCATGGTCCCTCTGTAGGCGCAGGCGTCCTGTGGCCAGCCACAGGAATAAGACCGGGAGGCATGCGGATGGGAGCCACGTTTCATCAACAGAGCCGGCCCACACTCCTTCACAGGCAAACACCAGCACGCTGTATTTGGGGAATCAAGTGCACACAAGACGGTGGCTGGACCGAAGTCCGCTCCACACTGAGTGCATGGAACAACTATTCGAGCCTTGCCCGACCAAAAGGACCTTGCACCCCGTCTCCTCCAGTAACGACCAACTGTCTCGTTTTAGCCAGTATGGACGAGGTAGTGGGTAATAGATACGTAGGCACCTTGTCAACATGCACATCAAGCGCAGCCACATCTGGGATGTCAAACAACAGCCAATCATTCGAAAAGCCGATATCGAATAAAGTAAACGCATATGACGATATAAATACTCGCTAAATGAGCACATGGAAGAAAGTGGTTAAATGTGAATACGCGATAAGTACAAAATGTCCGAAACTTATTTAAAAATACCATGCGATAAAATTACTCAAGTTTACCACAATTTGCATGAGCGACGTGTGTAAGTTGGGAGAAGGTTATCAAGTACGTAGAACAAACCAAATAAAATGGAATGAAATTTATTCACATTAAAAAGACCTAGTTTAAGTGTGAGTTGGTTTAGCTCAACTGCGTTGAAGAAGCATCATGAATGCGATATCAGCCTCAGCATGGGGCAGGATATATATATATATATATATATATATATATATATATATATATATATACATATATACATATATACATATATATATATATGGTATGTGGCATCACTAGGTAATTTTGGCCACTGCAAACATGAGTAGAATTATTAAAACTTTAAGTGCAACCTACACTAATGTACTGCCCTATCATCTATCACTTTCATAAGCGAAACAGATAGAATCGCTAAGAAAAACGCCCGGAACTCATCATCGCACATTTACGCTTAACTACGAGGAAAGACGTAGCAGAATCCAGCTTGAGCCGCTCTCTCCTCAAATACTGGAGCTTAACCTTAATCCTCTCTACAGTACCATACATTTACGAGTTATCCCAAACAGTACGGCTTTCGTACTAATGAACGGCTTAATCTAGCCTACTCGTAATAGGAAATTCCATCTATCCTAGCAGAGAACGAGCCGAAATATTCGTTTAAATTTCCTCCTATGGAATAAGCTGCCAATGCAGAGATAGAAGACTGAGTTGTTTACATTCAGAACATATCTACAAACTTTTCTTTCCATACTAAACGGAATCAAAATTTTCGACCTTTAGCAATCTGTGAGTGCACGCATAGATTCCGGCCGGAAAAACAGAACACAACTAGCTCTTCAGCCTGTTCTTTATTACATGTTCCACAAACAATGTGCACTACTAATCAACACTAACTCCAAGGTTCGTTAAGGTGTAGAAGAATTCCGATTGCACTATCGTGTGAGATTTGCGTTCCGCCCAATAATCCTTTCGCTGTGATTCCCACTAACTTTTACGCAACCCTTCTCTTTTGCCCCAACCCAAACCTTATGTACCCTCGGCAATACTCAACATCTTTCCTCGCCTTGGAGTTGAGTTTGAAATTTTGAGTGCAAGACTCAACAACTTTCATTGGAGTCGGCACATTAAACCATGCCTATAAAAAATCGCTCCTGGAAATCCCTGGAAAATGAACAATCCTAGCAAGTCACCGGGTGATTCCCATGATGAACAATGAACAATGAATGTATACGGGTTAAGAAGCGTTGCTTTACAAGTCCCGTTGGATAGTTGGTAGGGATATCAACATAACGATAATGATGATAAGGATAGTAAAACAGTTAATACTTTAAATATGAAAATAAGGACTTATAGTTTGCTTCGCTGCAGTCCTGCGATCCTCTTAGATTCACAGCATCCACAGTTAACAACAAATAATTCTATGGTAAACTCCAGGTGTAGGATGGAGACGTAGTGTTAAGTAACAAAGTGTAAGTGGATGAGTGCATCGTCCAACCGTCTTTTAAATACTGTTAGTGTCGGTGCAGAGACGACCGATTCTGGGAGCGCATTCCACGGGTGACAGACACGAATGGAAAAGAAATTTCTGCGGCACTCCAGACGACTGTATCGTTCTGCGAGTTTTAATGAGTGACCCCTCAGGTTTGTATTGCTGCTGAGTTGCAGTAAAGGGCGGCAGACATGATGTGGGTCTCGCAGAACTGTTTCACTCGCTGGTTCATATAACAACCATAAGACTAAGCGCATCGATGTTTTGCGTTATTCGTCCGATGTATGGAACTTAGCTAAGCTAAGGAAAAGGCAATTACTATCGGGGCTTGAGGTGCAAAGGCAGGCAACTTTTAGAAAATGAAGTACGTGGCCAAGCTTCGGGTAGACATAGAAGAGGATAAGGTCAGTTGTAATGTTATCTCAGTGGTTTCGCACATTTCAGGTAAAAGGAGAAAGCGTGCCGCTAAGTTTGTTGAAGGAGTACACGTGCGAATTACGATCACATACCCCTTTTTCAATAGTTTATTCCCATAGCAGCGTACACAGCTAGATCTGCCAACGGTTGAGTTAGAGTACTTCGAAAGTAACCCTGCTAATTATTGGAAATTCATTAATCAGCTGGGAGATTGTGGAAAGCCGGGTGTTCGACAGTGGGCAACGAGTACTTTATTTGATATAGTATGATCGAGGCCACCAGTGAGTGTGCGATGTCGTCTGCTGCCAAGGCATACGCTAGTGCAATAGATGCTCTTCGTGAGCCTTTGGTGAAAGCTATGTAGTGGCTAGATAAACAATTGATGGTCTAGTGACTGGCTTGATGCTATTCGCTACTGACCAGGAAGATTTGTCTAGGTTGTCTCCGAAAATAAAACATTGCTCTACCACAGATGAACCACACTGCCGAGTTGAATCCCACTGCAGCCATTAAATTCCAAGCTAACATACAAACATGCTCGATGGAAATCGATCGATTTTCACGTGTTGTTTGTCTGGCTGACATACGGGATCTCTCTAACGGGAAACCCCATGAGAGGCGTTGGCATAAGCGAGTAAAGAGGGCTGTTAGTTTGGCTCCAAGATGGCTGCCATCATTCCCCAACGCATCGGAGACATCTGAGGATGCAAGTGGCTGAAAGTATCCGGCCAGCCATGTCGATCGTCCGATAGTGTCTAATAGTCATCAACGGAATTCGTACCCACTGAACAAAGCAAGATATCAGCAGTGCGCCAGGCTGGGCAACCGGGAAGATCGCTGCCCACACAACACATGAACATTCTAAAGCTCCTTAACACTTCCAGTGACTACATGTTTTCCTCTTTTTGTTGTTGGTAACTATGTGTTGGGACACTGCCAATCGTACATTGGTCAAATGTTGAACACTAATATTAATACTAGTACTACTACTACTAATAATAATAAAGTGCGCCGGTACGCAGCACCGACGCTTCCCTATCGCGCAACCATTAGCAGTCGCATGAGGGTTGCCCGGTCCTATACGCAGGCTCGAACCCGCGACCTCAGAATAACAACAGGTTTGTGATCCTTAAGGCCATGGGGCCGGCCATTCAGTAAACAAATAAAACGTCAAAAAATGACGCCATCAAGCCGCTTTCGATTGTCGGTTGTATAAGTGCACTCGGTGCTGTAAAAGGAGAGGCAATCGATTTTCAATGCACTTATACACAAGCCATGCGGGCAACAATGGTACTCGATTTTCGTCAGTCGTCTTCCAAATCTGAGATGATCCGAAATCCGCTCGTTTGAATCTCAATCTGAGGAGACAAATGGTGTTCCATTCGGCTTCTGAGTCATGACTGCTACACTCGCGACGAAAAATATCTAACTGCCGCTTGCATGTATAAGAAGGCAGATAAACCCGTAGTGCGTTACTGTGAAATGCGGAAAGCTTAATCAACATGTGATAGCGGACTAAGTGAACACTGCAAACCTAGATCGCACTTCGGGTGAATCGGTGCACTAGATTGGGTAAAACCTAGTGACCGAATTGACCGATGTGCACCTCAAAATGAAGCGCGGTCCACATTGAGATTACGTGTCGAAATCCAGTCACACAATGTGTACTTCAAAAGGACCCCCTCAACGTCCCTTACATTCTACGCGGCCCCCGCTATCCGATTTACTTAGCGACGCAGAACCTGTGGCCTGTCTTTTGAATTATGAGTTGGTTTCGGATGAGGGATTTGCCGGAGGATGACCTGAAGGTGTACAGTTAATCAGGAAAATCTGCTTTGCTCCCATGGGCTGTGGGTAGAATGGCCGAAGGATGAGAGAAAGGATAACAGGAGATAAGAGAAGCACATGGGTTTACCTGTAGCAAACTTGTCAACGCCTTGAAACTATCGACGCATAAATCCACTTCGGCAGTGAAGGAGGCGCTGCGTAAACTCAGGACGGCATCTGCCACACTGCCAGCGAGTACGGCAAGCAGAACAGGAAAACAATATGAGGAGTATTTGAAGCACAATTCGGAACGAACTGGCTGCGTGCTCGTTGACTCGAAGCAGCTGTCGTCATCTCGGGAGGCCGCATATGGAGGAAGACACGGAAAGACGGCAGAAAATGGGTCGTCCTTGTGGAAGGAGAAAGAAATCCAACAGTTAGTCGGGACCTCAACATCCTCCCAGGAAAAGAGAAGGGTGATTAACAGCTCAACTTCTGCAGGTGAGTTGCGGTAAGCAAGACATTCACTATACAAATGAAAAGAGTAGAGAAGTGGGACTGCGAAATTCCACAGTGTCGATATAGGGAGCGATACTAACCATGCGTGCAAATGCAGAAGAATTAAAACTTACATGACCTGTATGAAGTAAAGGATGCTCCGTAGATTATTCTTCACGTGTGGGTACAGTGAACAACACACCATACAGACGAACAGAAATGAGAAGTTTAGATACTTTAGCGGATCAAGAAAAAGAAGAAAAAGAAAGACACCAGCAGCCCACCGGTACGTAGTGCCGACGTTTCGCTACCGCGCAACCCCCATCGGTCGCACGTGGGCTGAGGATACTGAGAGGGTTGCCCTGTTCCTACGCAAGCTCGAACATGCGCCCCCCAGATTACAAGGCAGGCCTGTGATCCTGAAGGCTGCGGGCTGGCTTAGTGGACCAAACCAGTGTCAAAACGCGTAGTTTCGCCTGGGAGACCATATACAGTTGTGTGATACATAGCTTTCGCTGGGTTAAAAGCACGTGATTAAAAGCAGCTCCGTTACACGCGCAGCCCCGCAGGATGTGTAGTGCTACTATACTTAGGAGCCGTGTGAAGACAACACAGCTGGAAAGGACAAGCATGAGTGCAGAAGAACTGGGGTAGCGTGAGTGAAAAACCGAAAGACGAACGCGTTTGGCCATAACGGAGATTTGCAGCATTTTCCTCATTAATCACCGGTAGCAAGGCAAAGTTCCGTCAACGAAAGTTAACACTCGATCGTTTCTTGCGAACAGCGGGTGATGGAGTACAAGGATAGCAATAGAGACACGACCGAATGTGGCCGTGTTGCAGCTGATCCATTCGAATTCCGCTTTGACCGATGCTGACAGAGAGTGGGTACCGTAACATGGGAGACAGTGTTTTCGAACACCCAATATCTACCTTCTTCAGTGATTATGATCCCAGTGACCGATAGGACCAAGATTCACTTCGTTGTGAATCACGGTCCATGAACATATATTTTCGGCAAATCCGTCCATGGCCCAAGGCCTGGGTATTATATAAATTCGTCGAGATTGGACAAATGTCCTGATGTACTATTGAAACAGTAATCATTTAAAACGCAAAAAATGGTCGGAATCGCTCGACAACGTGTGAGTGTACGGTGTTAGTGTGAGATGTTTTGTGATACTGCACCCCGCATGTAGGTGTCGTAAATTTAGAGGGTTCCTTTCATGGTAGACACACACAAGTCGGCTACGTCAAGTTTGGTGAGCCTCAGTGCCGAAATGTGCTTAGCGGAGGCTGGGAATATATGAACCCGGTTGTTGATGATCACCGGATGATGCATGATATTTAATACTGTGGGGAACTCCGAACGCACAAAGTGGGTTATGGCTTCCGCATGAGCATCTACACTGCATTTGTCAATATTTAGTTGGTAGCTACGGGACATTCTGTAAGTGCTGCATATTGCCATGTCCAGTACGTGTGCTGTGGAGATCTTGATGACGATTATATCCGGCTCGATGTACGTTGATGCCTCTGGGATGCGGGGCTCCGGGATGATTTGGGCTCCTTTACGACGAACGGTGTTGGTTAGTTGCTTTATGAGATCGTTGTGTCTCCTACAGAGAGCATCGTGGGTTGTTATTGTACAAGACTGCAAGACATGGGAAAGCGTTTCGTCTTGTCCGTAACCGCCTTGGCAGTGAAGATCGGTTGGGTTTGGCATGATTGTCCTCTGGAGCATCGACATTTTGTCGACAGCACCCCCTGTTCGAAGTTCGGTTCCTCTGATGTAACGTTTGAGAAAAATGCGCACGGGTTTCTTATCCATTTATGTGACGCTGGTGTCGTAAATACCCCTCTCCCCCGGAAGCAAGAATCCATCTACAGATTGTAGCAATGAATTCTTCCATGCTTCCTTCGTGTCATTTTTCTCAAAGACGAGTTGATTCCCAATGATTACGGGTTTCATGGTGAGGCGCTGAATGGTAGCCGCTGAAGGTTCCCGTATCGCCGAGCTGGTAATTGAGTAGGGGAGTAAAATACAGCGTTCTAGGCAGCCCTTCCAAGGCAATGGCATCATACTACAAAAGGCACGGAACCCCTAAGCTATAATCCTCAATCGATGCATGAAAGAAAGCGACGCTGGTGTTCTTGGGGAGTCGTATTCATTTTCGTATACTTGTCCGCACCAGCCTATCCATCGATTTGAGGGTCTGCCGGTGCACCACCGCCAATGAGAGATAATGTGTATATGACGCGGTAAAGGATATGTACGCAAATTATCCATGCGCTGGTAGGGTTTGAGAGGAGATTGGGATGTTTCTTGCAGCTGTGTTTTTAGTTGGTCTAGCTAGTGTGACGGGCGTTTACTCTTCTAATCAAATGGTAGTTCAAGTAGCCGGAATTCCCTGGATGGCTGGATCGAGGGTATCTGGAGGGCGACACAGGGGAGCTGCGCAGTGTTCAAAATAGGCAAATTGTTTCTTTTGCTGTCCACAGTGATAGTCAATACCACCGATTTCATGTGGTTTATTGATAATCTAAGATGTTGTATATTCTGTCTAAATTGCCCTAGGCGTTCGATCAGGGATTCTCGATCATGAACAAATAGTACGACATCAACTGCGTAAGCGACATGATCGATTGGACCTGCTGGGGAAATTCACTATGTCAAACAGTGTGTGTAATGCTTCAAGTGGCATGATGAAGATCAAGGGAGAAAGTGGGTTTCCCTGACGGACAGCACGCCCCGGGTGAATCCTCAGACCGTTGGTGATTGAAATATCGGAGGAGTAATAAGACTTTAGGTAATGTAGAAGAAAACAGGGTGCATCGAAAGGTGAGGCTGCGCGAAGCAGTGAAGCGTGGGAGTAAGAATCAGTCTTTTGAAATGTCAAGAGAAGCAATGGATAAAGGGATATTGTACAAGTGTGAATATCTTAGTGCGGAGAGTAATATAGTGGGGGCTTCAAAGCAGCCATCTTTAGGAAGAACACCAAATTGAATACGGTAAGCTGGAAATGCAAGAATCCACTGAACGATTAAAATTCGATAAAGAAGACGAGTGAAGACTGAAGTTACGGAAATTGGGCGAAAGTCTTCAGGGCGGGAAGGATTGGGATTTTTTGGAACAAACGTTACACGGCCACGCTCATGTGAGTAGAATAAGGGGAACAGCATCATCCTCATCAATATACACTTTAGCTAGTGTAAAACACCTTATCTGCTGTGCCGCAATACATAAAAGAAAAAAGGGAGAAATGCAACAGGTGCAAGCCAGCTGAAGTACTGGTAACGAATGGGCATCGTTCCGATAAGATACCAGCCGGCTACTACGCAGCAAAAAAAGAATTTGTTACGCAAAATTATATATACGGACAAGTACTGGGATCGTGGTTGGAGGAGGAGGCTGAGGGATGGTGTGGGACAAAGAAACTCAAAGCACGAACGCCACTGGGGGTCGGCTCCTAGCCATCTCAGCAAGTGTATCCAGCCAAACGTGTTTATAGTCTTTTGGACCCCAACCAGGGAGCCGGGACGCTCCAACCAAGGCCAGCTCTGAAGTGAGGGCCTTCATTCCTATCTAGGGTATAAGTATGGATTGCGTGTGATGTCCGCCAATGTGCGAAGCCTGAGAAATAAAATGGATGAGTTTTGTCTCCTTACTTTACAGTGTCATCCTGACCTGGTGGCTCTTACTGAGATGTGGCTGTCCCAGGATATTCTGGATTCTGAAATACACCTTCCTGGTTATCAGTTTTCTCGGACTGATCGTCTTGGTTCGAGATCTGGAGGTGGCGTCATACTCTAATGGAAGTCTGAGTTGAGGGTTCATACTGTAGAGGCTGTTTGTGATATAGTTAATGGTTCGGAGATAATTTGGTGTCGTGTCCACGACGCACACAATTCGCTCATGGTCTGTGTTGTCTACAGACCCCCAATGGCCTCCGGATCCCGAGTGCTGGACTCGATCAAAATGCACGGCAGAGGCAAGGATTGCTTAATAATGAGAGATTTCAATGTCCCAACGTCAACTGGGATTTACTTCACTGTGATTTCGCCCCAGAAACCTTCGATGCTGTTCTACTGGAAACTGTCCTCGATGTGGGTTTAAATCAACATGTATCATCACCCACTCGGATAATCAGAGCCAAACGCCGCATATCCAAGACCTCATGTTCACGACCCAACCATCCGATGTATGTGACAGAGATTCTCCAGCCACTTGGGTAAGGTGATCATTTTGTGCTTTCTTTTGTATGCACAAGACGACCCCCCCTTCACCACCGGCGCATACCTTGTCGGAATTAATAGCGCGCCGAACCACTCCGCCTACAAAGGTCTGCAAGTGTTATGGACTGGAGCACTCCCCAGAAGTTGGATCTCGATATCGTTTGGAACCTCCTTCGCTTAAAATTGCTCTCTATTGTGGAAGAAGTTGTACCAACCGATGCTGACAGACCTTTCTCCAAAGGCACTTCTTGGATTGATGGAGCTGAGAACCTTGCTGCATAGAAGACGAAAACTGTGACACAAATTCCAGTTCTCACGGTTGGCGTCTGATTATGATGATTACATAGTGCTCAGGAATTTGTGTACACTGAATAAACGCGGGAAGCGGGAACAATACGAGCGTCGCCTGGCTGAACAACCTTGTAGTGACCCGAAAAAGCTCTTCTCACACCTGAAAAGAAGTACTAAGGCGGGTTGTGGCGTATCTGTTTTGTATTCGAGTAAGGAGGAGGCTATACTTCATAACGGTAAAGCGAAAGCCTGCCTTCTTGCTGCGCAATATTCATCCATGTACTCGGCTGAAGCCCCAGTATGCAATAACTATGTGCCCACACATCCCACTCCCTTGGAGCACATAATTACCACGAACATGGTGCTGAGAATTCTTCTCGAGTT